ATCCTATTTTTTTAAATTAGTAAAATAGTAAAAATATATGTTTTTGGGGGGCTGAAATTTTTTATGGGGCTAAAATATTTTTTGGGGGCCAGAATAAAGTTATACTGTAATTTGTTGTGAGTTAGTGTACTGTGTTGGTTTTGTTCTTTGAGCAAGGTGATGTTCATGCACGGCTCATTTTATACATCAGTAAAAAACATATACCTATGTCTTGAATTTGGAAAAAAATCATATTTTATTTATGACTAAAAAGGGTTCAGTGAATACACATACGAAACTGGTGGGTTCGGTACCTCAAAACAGGTTAAGAAGCACTGCTTTAGGTCTAAAGTGGAAGGGAGAATGATAAAATAAATGCTTCTCAATCATCCACCTGAAGGGTTTCTCTGTGGCTCATGTTCTCACAGTGTTTAGCTCATGGTACTCTATCAGCAGTTAAATGAAAGTAACAACTGAGTGTTTAAAAGATTTTTCTTAACTTTGATAGGTTAGTAAAAATTGCACATGGGAGTTTCTTACAGCAAGGTAAAAGAACAGCTCATGGACTCACATTTTGACTCCACAATTGCAACACGAAACAGCTGTTAAAATGTTTACATAGAAAGAGGCTCTGTTTTCATGCTTACTAATAAAAATGTTCTCTCACTTTGTTTTACAATCCAAAATGAGTTAACACTAAAGAAGTTCCATATTTTATAAAACCTAATCGTGTCCACTCTAAACGTATTCCTTTTGGTCAAAAGCAACACAAACAACTATTAAAAGTAGAATTTGCACCAAACGAAGGCAGTAGGAGGGGAAAAAAAGATATACATTCTGTCACTCCTGGAGAGGTGAAGGAGAGGCCGAGGTCAACGCCATCCCTCCTGGGGAGTTTTAAGAGGATGGTCTATCATTAACTGAGAGAAACCTATAGTGGCACACATTTATTTGCTATTAACTAATCTTTTAAAAGGCTGGTGCTGATAGCTGAGGTGACGGAGGATTTTCTTTTTCTTGCAGAATAAATGAAAACAGTTAATTCATTTCCTCTGGCAGTCACTTTTTAATCTTTGAGTCAGCAAGTTTGTTACTTGGTGACATTTTAGCGCAAAGCGCAAAGAAATATAAACCACAGAATAAACCAAAACGGTAACATTTAGTTGTGGGGGGGGAATAAGGAATGCCATGTGAAAGCAGTTGAGGATGCAAAGTGGTTACAGCAGTAAAATGGGTCCTGCCATCATTGATGCGCTACTTTAAAGCCCGTTAGAGCTCCCTGCCGGTGGTTCTAATTTGCGAGAACGAGTTTGAGGGGGAGGCGGTCTCTGACGGAAGCGACGCCTCTCGCTTCTGTGATTGGCTGCTCTCATGTTGCGGAGGCCGGGGCTGAGGGGGTTAGGAAGGTAGGGGAGGTGGGGGAATGAAGAGGGGTGAAGGCTGAGAAAGACAAGGGTGGGATGACCATCTGGTTGGGGTTTTTCACGCGCGCGCACACACACACACACACACACACACACACCTCTCTCTCTCTCTCTCTCTCTCTCTCACACACACACACACACACACACACACACACACACACACACACACACACACACACACACACACATGCACGCACGCACACAC